CTGAAAACTCGAGATTGCACCAAACGAGTGACACAAGGATACCTGAACGTAGGACAGCTTTTCTGCTTTCCTGTTTTCCATAATGAATGCATATTTTTATAATGAGAAATTAATACATGCTGATTGATTTTAGCAAAAATATCTGGGGTCAGACATCTGACCCAGCAGTTACGCTGCCCCTCAGGACACCTGCACTCCATATTGGAACGCTTCCTGGGCGTCTTGGCTGCTCCGCTTCTGCTCCAGCTTCCTGCCGATGCACACCCTGGGAAGCAGCGGGTGATGGCTCAAGCACTTGGGTCCCTGCCACCCACCTTGGGGACTGGGATGGAGTCAGGGCTCTTGGCTTCAGCCTGGCCCAGCCCTGGCTTTTGCAGGTATCTGGGGAGTGAACCAGCAGATGGGAGATCTTTGTCTGTCTCTTTCAAATAAACTAAAAATACATTCATAACAAATTTTAAAGAGCATATCTTAGTAATGCTGATTCTTTGAAGTGTTGCTGCGAAGTTTTCCAGGTCTGTGAAAAAAATTCCAAGATATGGGGCTGGCGCTGTGGTGCAGCAGGTTAATGTCCAGGCATGCAGTGCTGGAATCCCCTATGGGCACCGGTTCGAGTCCCGGCTTACTCCACTTCTGATCCAGCTACCTGCTAATGTGCTTGGAAAAGCGGCTGAGGATGGCCCAAGTCCTTGGGCCCCTGCACCCACATGGGAGGCTGGGAAGAAGCTCTTGGCTTCCAGCTTCTGATGGGCACAGCTCCGGCAGTTGTGGCCATTTGGGGAGTGAACTAGCAGATGGAAGACCTCTCTCTCTCTCTCTCTCTCTCTCTCTGTCTCTACCTCTCTCTATAACTCTGTCTTTCAAATAGATAAAATAAGCCTTTAAAAGAATTCCCAGATGTATGGATTAAAATTCATAAACAAAATCTTTTAATTTGTATTAATATAAAGAGAACAGATTTCATAGGTACAGCTCTAGAATGATAACCATATTTCCATTCTTCCCCCTCCCTCCCTCAATTCCCCTCCTTCTTTCCTTCCTTTTTTTTTCTTTAATTTTTGCAAAGACATAATTTCAAACCCTTCTATAATCACAGGCTTAATTCACCACTAACCATAATATTCGAGAAGTAAAAAGTAGGAGACCACAGTTCCACAGGAGCATAAACAAAGGCTAAAAACAACAATCAAATCACAAGGTGTCTCATTCCTCCACATTTTTTGTATTCTGTGTTAACATTTCAGAGAAAACATAGGATCTTTGTCTTTTTGGGACTGGCTGGTTTCACTAAGCATAATGGTTTCCAGTTGAACCTGTTTTGTTGCAAGACAGGGTTTAACTCTTTTCCATGTGTTCTACCTCCTGCTAAACATAGTTTTTTAGGGAGTGGCATTACGGTGCAGCCTGCAATGCCGGCATCTATATCTGAGCGCCAGTTCAAGTCCTGGCTGCTTTGTTCTGATCCAGCTCCCTGCTAATGCATCTGGGAAAGCAGTGGAAGAGGGTCCAAGTGCTTGAGGCCATTGCACCCACATGGAAGACCAGGATGGAGTTGCTGGCAAGCACCTGGGGAGTGAACCAGTGGAGGAGAGTTCGATCTCTCTGTCGCTCTGCCTTCTAAATCAATAAATAAATATTTTAAAAATCCTGCTTATGATGAAAAATAATTGGTATCTAGTTTTCCAAAATTCTTTCAGGAGGTTTACAAGCAAAATTGTGTGCAGCCTCTGGAATGAGGCATGAGATAGCCTGACTGACTACAGGAGGGGCAGGGGGCCTCCAGGAGACCCCTGGGAGAGCAACAGGTACCTTGGTGAATAGAGAAAGCCAGGTCAGAGATCCCGGGCAGCTCCCTGTTCATGGCACAGCAGCAGGCACTAGTCCCTGGCTGGAATGGGATAACTCAGTTTCCCAGAGTGGGCACCTGGGGCACGAGGGATGGGACAGGAAGAAGGAATGGAGAGAACTCTCAGGAACACGCCCCAAGGGGAGGGCTGGACCAGCAGAGGACGTGCGGTGTGAGTGCCTGTGTGCCGGGCCAGCTGGGTTTCCCAAGTTCAAGAGCAGCCAGCTCCACTGGAACCTTGCAAAGGACTTGTGCCACGGACGCTGGCACTGGCCGAGTGACCAGGAGGCCGCAGGTGGGCAGCAGAGGCTGGGAGCCAGAAACAGCCACAGAGCGAGTGCAGTGGTGATGATCCTGGCTGTGCATCAAGCCTCCTCCCCTAGGAGAAGGAACACCCCCATTTCAAAGAAGCAGAAACCGAGGCTGCCGTGGAGCTGGGGTTTGGTTCCCGATACCCAGACTCTTTCCAGCAAAGCAAGGTGCAGAGAATTGCGCCCGGTGCAGCGCCACCCCCCACCCACAGGCTCATCTTATTCCTGCCGAACACACCTGGGTCCCAGCTCCCACCTCCAAGCGCGTGACTGACTGGGGGCCACAGAGCTGCTCTTGCTCTCCGAGACTCAGCTGGGGACTGCAGCTCTGCTGGCTGCTCCCAGAGGCCTCAAGGAACACAGGAGACAGGGGAGACCCCAGCACCCACTCTCCAGCACCCCTCAGGGTGGAGGGTCTCATCTGGATGCTCTCGCTGTTTCTCACTCCACAGCTTGCCCCCCCCAAAAGCCCCCCACCCCCAACAAAAGCGATTTACAAACCTGTCCGGCCAAATCCTTACCCAAAGCACACCGGGGGGCACATGGCTCCACTCCTCTTCGCTGTGGAACTCTGCACAGTTCATCTGGCCTCTAAAATGGGTTCTCAGGGGCTGGCGCCGCGGCTCACTTGGTCAATCCTCTGCCTGCGGCGCCGGCATCCCATATGGGCGCCGGGTTCTAGTCCTGGTTGTTCCTCTTCTAGTCCAGCTCTCTGCTGTGGCCCGGGAAGGCAGTGGAGGATGGCCCAAGTGCTTGGGCCCTGCACCCACATGGGAGACCAGGAGGAAGCACCTGGCTCCTGGCTTCGGATCAGCACAGCTCCAGCTGTAGTGGCCATTTGGGGAGTGAACCAACGGAAGGAAGCCCTTTCTCTCTATCTCTGTCTCTCACTGTCTATGACTCTACCTGTCAGATAAATGTAAAATAAAATAGGTTCTCCGTGTGGGGGCCCAGGGCCAGCAGCATCAGCATCTCCTGGGAACTTAGAAATGCAAATTCCCAGGCCCCAGCCCAGATCTGATGACTCAGCACCTCAGCCCCCAGGTGAACCTGCCTCCTTGTGGGTGGCCTGAGGGTCGCCTGCGGGGGTGCAGGGGCAGCACTCGCTGCAAGGTGAAGGCCCCTGTGGGCTCTCCCAGCTCTGCCTCTCCCCACCCGGGCGGGATCTCAGCTTCGGGCCCCCTGTGTTTCCCTGCATCTCCGTTAGCCCAGGCCTGCGTCCTTCCTGAGTCTCGGCTCGAACTACACTGCCACGGCCTGCATTTCCCTCTCCATCTGCTGTTTGCCTTGTCCAGGGAGCAGGCTTCTTCCCTCTGGACTTTGGGCTCCCCTGCCGGGCCCAGCCACTCTCCCTGGAGAGTGTCAGGGTGGCCAGCAGCACCCAGACCCTGTCCCCGTGCCCGGATCCTAGACTACATCCATTCCCTTGTACTGCTTCTATTCCATCCCACACCTGAAGGTCAGGTGAGCCACCTTTTAGAATCTAGACAACCCCTCTGGGAGGCAGGAAGAGGGTGGGTCTCTGGGAATCCTAGCTCCGGACATTCCCCTAAATGGGCGGCTGCTTTTAACCCCTTCTCTCCCCCAGCTTGGTGGCATTGTTTCCAGGTGCAGGTGGGCCACCTTCTACCTTCTTCTTCCTGTGGCCTTGGGGGTGGCTTGCATCTCTCCCTATCTAACAGGAGGACAGACAAGGCCAGTTCTGTCCAGCAGAGACAATACAAGGTGTGTCACTCAGGAAAGCCTGTGCCCCCTCCCTAGCCATTGTTTTCCCAACTTTCAGGGCTCAGCTCTGATCCCATAGGCTCAGGACTCTGGGGCAATGTTTAAGCCCTGCAGAATCTGCCTGCTCAGACCCCCACCCCCACCCCGCACCTGCCTGCTAATCACCCCTCTCCCCCCCCAGAGACTCTTGCTGAGAAGGGCCAGGTCTAGGAAGCCCAGTGACACCAGTTTAAAATAGGAATTCCCCAAGGGTCAGATCCAGTGGTCTGGGGTGCAAACTCCAGGATCTGAGCTTCTAGAATCTTCTAGAACAAGTTCCCTGAGTGATTCTTAGGACAAAGTACATGTGGTGTCAAAGATAACAAGCTGAAAACAACCCATTTTCATGGCCTCCCACCCCTCAGTGGAGCTTGGGGCTTTCAGTCTCTGGTTCATTGGCTGAATGGCAGCTGATCATCCAGGGGTGGGGCAGAGACCACTCCCCAAATTGTGGTTCTTCAAAAAAACATTTAAGTCCAACACTCCTGTCGCTGTTGCCTGAGGTCAAAGCAAGGCCCCTTCAAGGAGCAAAAAGGCCATTGCAGGATCCAACTCCAGGGTTAAAAAGGGCGTAGGAGGGAGCTGGACGTGGAGCCACCTGTGCCTGGCCCCAGCCTCACAGCGCCCCACTCCCAGCTCGGCGAGGGAGACGTGGATGGAGCTTAGCTTGTTTCCCAAAACCGAGGCTACTGACCTCTCCTCTGGCCAGCTTTTGGGGCCCTTCCGGCCCGGGGTCCCCTAGACAAGAGTGCGATTGACCAGCGTGAATCGCCTCGGGCCCACCCAGTTGACAGCCAAGAAAAAAAATTTTTTTAAACCATCGAATTCAATATTTAAAAAGGAATAGTGCCAGGCTTGGTTCTAACAGTCCTGACCACACAAGAAAGCGATCACTTCTCGCTCCAGACCTAACAAGACCTTGCGCCTGCCTCTTCAAAACAGAATCATAAATACAGCAAAAAAGCACACAAGTCTGAGAGCACACCCGCTCCCCAGGCTGCTGGCGCACAGCGTAGAAACCGGCGCGGCCCCGCAGCTGGTGCGCTGTAACTTTAAACCTGGCGGGGGGTTCGCGGCTTACGCGCCGGCCAAAGAGCGCCCGAGGGCGGTCCTAGCGCCGGGGCTGAGACCACCTTACCGCCGCCCCGCTCCCCGCCCTCGGCTGGAGGCATAAATGCTGACTGCGCTGCCCACGTCGCCAGCTGCGAAGTTCGCCGTCCGACCGCCTTGCGCCCGGGCACCGTGGCGCGCTGGGTCTCTCGCTCCCTGCGCCCCTCCAGGCTGGACGTGGCCATCTCCCCAGGGACTCTTCCAGCCCCTCTCCCAACTCCTGCGCGCGCGACGACTGCGGCTCCAAGCGCACGAGTGAAGCGGCGAGATGTGGAAGGCGCGCATTCTGCTGCTGCTCCTGGGCAGTGCAGGGCTCTGGGCGCCGGCGGCGGCGGGAGGTAAGCGGGCGGCGGGTGGAGACGGGCGGGGAGACCCGCAGCAGGCACGGGGCCTGGCCCTGGAGGTTGCCCGAGGGGCAACGCGGGGGAGCCCGAGGCTGTGCTTGCGTGCGCCCTGGAGGAGGAGCGGCAGCGGCTGAGCGTGGTGGCGGGAGGAGCCCTGGAATCCGCGGGCAGCCAGGGTGGGCAGCGAGGGAGCCTCCCTCCGAGCCAGCTCCCTAGCGTGGGGGTCGGGGGAGCCTTCCTCAGTGCGCCCGGGCGGCTGGCTTTCCTCGCTGGCAGGTGACGCAGAGATGCGCGTGATCCCGGGGGAAGTTTGTCCCGTGGAATCAGGCGGGACACTCAGCAGGGTTGGGGCGCGGCTGGGGGTTGCCCCGGGACCATGGCCTTAGCGTCCCCTTGGAGCAGGCTGGGGGTGCCACCCCGGTTGGGGGGCGTTTTAGCGGCCTGTGCCAGGGAGCATACTTGTGAACGGAGGTTGAAGTGAGCTGGGGGCTGCGTGTTGAACTTGGCCAACAAGGTTAGTGGCTGAATTAGTGACTCCTTAGGCTTTAAATGGCTGTGGCCCAAAGATGGGGGGCACTGCTGGCCTCTTGTCCACACCTTGCCCTCCCTGAGGGTCCCTTCTTCCTTCTTCTCACTCCGGGCCCATTTCTGCTCCGTTGCTGCCTTGGGCCACTCCCCCCCACCCCCCACCCCGAACTTTTGTCAATATCTTGTTTTCTAGGATGTTTAATCTGCTTCCCCAGGCACGTCTCGCCTCGGGGTGCCCACAGCCGCCTGCGCACATAGTAGTTGCTCACTGAATGTGGGTTGGGGGACTTGTAAGTGGACCAACTGGCGTGTGATCTCTGGGGCTGAGGACCCAGAGGAATCCTTGCAGAGGGAGGGGCTTGTAGGCAGGACAGACCCAACGTAGGCACCCATAATTGTACACGGGAAAATCACACGGAGGGCAGGGCAGTCCTAAGCGGGCACCTCTCTTTGGAGAGCCCGGCAGCTATTCGGGGCAGTCCTATCTTTGGAAGTTCTCCCACCACCAGGAAGCAGACGGGGCTGGGTTTCCGCTGTACTTCCGTGGTGCCCAGACAGGGTGCACGGGACACCACTTTGTGTGCCCCAGAGCAAGGTGAGGGCTTCCTCCCCCCATCCTCCCCCACCTGAGCCAGGTGCCTCCCAGGACAGACAGCTGATGGCTAAGCCACATCCTCTGTCACCCAGAGAGAGAGCGCCTGGCTGTCATTATCTTAAGCCAGCTCTGGAGTGTCAGTCAGTCTGGGAGGGGGCTGCATCCAGCCTGTCAGAACAAGCAGCCGCTTTGGGGCTGAGACCTTCTCGGGCTAGCTGGGGCCCAGCCGAGGGGCTGCAGATGAGGGGCTGCAGACAGGGGTCTGCAGGGTTTTTTGTCTGAGGACAATGAGTGCCACAACTTGAATGGGGATGAATAACTTCATTGAGCTCAGCCGGATTGTTGCAGGCTGGCCTGGGGGTGATCATGGTCATGCATTTCACTGTGCTTCTCTGGGATCCTCCGCCGTACAGGGTGTCCCTCACTAGAGCTCTAGTCTAATTTGCTTTTATAATCCGGCCCCGTGTGCCATCTCTCTGGATCTTCCAGGCTCCAAAAGCAGATCTGTTGTGCACCCATCTGGCGTTTGCCCCACCCTCACCCTGAACTTTCCCCCACATCACGTCCTCCCGGGCCCCTCCCGTCGGTCCGTTTATTTTTGTGAAATTCTGCAAGCTGTTGCTTGCCGCTGGCCCACATGTGATTTTCCGGCACCAATCTGGCCAGAATTAATCATGCGGCAGGCAAATTTCCCTGTGATTTCCCTGAGATCCTTGCCAGTTTTCGAGGCCCTGAAATCTTCATGAGCTGCTAGGAGTTTTTGTTGTACTTTGGGTATTTAATACAGATCCACTCTGTTAGAGACTTGGTGAGGGGCCCTATTCATTGCTCTGGTGTGTAAGAACCAAATGGCATTCAATAGAAAAGCACATTTTAAAAAGTGTGTCCAAGCATGAGGAGGCTGAGACTAGACGGAGCCAGCAGGAATCCACTCCCTCCTTTCTCTGAAGTGAGCAGCACAGGGGTGCCTCTGTACCCTAGGATGAGAGTGACCCCCTCGCGCCTTGGCGGGACAGTGGGTGGCCCAGCCAAGGAGAAAGGACGTCACCACCTCCCTCCCCTCCCCGTGCGCCAGCAACGGCAGGAGCTGCCTCATTTCACCGTCGCAAGACCCGTGAATTATATGCCATTATTTCAGGACGTGCCAAAACTGGGGTTCCTAAACAGTTCAGACTCCAACATCAAGCCCTTGTTACTACGTTACTCTGATTTGGGGGTGGGGGGTGGGAGGCAAGGTGCCAATCAAGACACCTGTGTCGCATGTTAGAGTGCCTGGGCTCCATACCTGGCTCTGGTTCCTGCCAACACAGCTCCTGGGATGCAAGGGTGATGGCCCAAGTGCTTGGGTTCCTCTACCCACACGGGAGATGCAATCCTGGGTCCCCTCTCTGGCTAAGATTGGGGGTTGTTGCAGGCATTTGGAGAGTTTCTCCCCCCCCCCCCCCTGCCATGTATGTGTGTCTCATTTTTTGTCTATCTCTCAAGTAATTAAGCAAATAAGTAACTTAAAAAAAATAAGTTGAACTTGAAATTAAAGTTGAACCTCACTTTAAGCCCCTTAGACAAGAAAGCAAGAACTTTCTAAAGTCATTGAAATCCCAGAGTGAGGGTTTGGTGCTGTGGTTAAGATGGCGGTCGGACGCCCACATCCCTGGTCTGGGCTCTGGCTGCTCCGCTTCTGCTCCAGCTGCCTGCTAACGTGCACCCTGGGAGGCAGCTGGTGATGGCACCAGTGCTTGGGCCCCTGCCACCCACGTGGGAGACCCAGGTTGGTTTTTGGGCTCCTGAGCTCAGCCTCACCCAGCCCTGCCTGTTGTGGGCATGTGGGCAATGAACCAGTGAATGGAAAATTTATCTCCATTTGTCTCTCTGCCTTTCAAGGAAAACAAAAATAATGATTAGGAACAAGATAGAAAACCCCTTGTGTTAAATACACCTTCATGTTACTTGAAGAATGAAATGGTCATAGCACATTAAAGTTGGGTTCATGTATTCATTCTGCAAACAGCCAGCACCCTCAGATGTGGCTGGATGCAGGATTCCCTCTCCCTTGAGGGAGGCGCACCTAAGGTTGGGAAGCACACTCCGCAGTCCACCGCCTGTGCTTTAAATTCCAGGGGCCTGTCTGAATATTTGTCATATTTCTGGCGTCTGAGAGCGGGCCTGCCAGGTTGCAGCTTGCCGGAGTCATCCTGGGGAGGACAAGGGGGGAGAGAGAGGACTCCATCCCCGCTACCTAAGTCTGAATGGGACCCTACAAGGAAGCCTGGCTGTGCCCCCCAGACCCCAACGATTGGAGTGCAGGAGGGACTTGGCCAAGTGGACAGTGACTTGAGATTCATCTTACGGGGCTGGCGCTGTGGCGTAGCGGGTTAAGCAGCTGCCTGCGATGCCCTGCCCCAAGGAGAGGCTTGTCTGGAGCCTAGAAAGGAGGAGGAAGGGCACAAGGGGTTGTTAAGTCTGCCCTGCCCAAGGAATTCCTTTAGCTGACAAATATTTGTCGAGTACCTGCTGTGTGAGTCAGGCAGCGGGGAGCCAGCGCAGAGCAAGTGAGAGATATGTGCTCTGCGGGGCCCGAGCACCCTGGTCTCACTCAGTGTGACCCCGCCGTGAGTCAGGGGCCTCATTCCTACACAGTCTGAAGTGTGTCCCGCCCTGCTTCCCTCCTTGGGTGCAGCGACCTCCCAGCATCCCAGGTGTCTCACGCCCAACAAGGACATGCCCTGGATAGCAAAAATGCACCTGAAGCACTAGAAAGCCACTTCCCACGGTAAGTGAAGTATTTGCTCCCCGGCCGCTTGTGAGTTGGGTTAATGTGGAGCAGTTTTGTCTGAGCTGGATTGCCCCACAGGAGTGAATGTGACTAAGGCTATGGATGGGTGATGTTAACAGCAGCAACCCAGCACTGACGGTTTACGGCGTGCCCACAGCTCACTGGCTCTGTTTCAGCCAATACGTACGACAAAGCCACGAGGCAGGAACCATTCGTGAATTATGGAAACGTTTCTAAGAGCCCCAGTAACATACATGCAGACACGGAGCCGGTCAATGGCAATGGTGACAGCAACAGCGAGACTTGAACATGGGCTGCTCAGCCCCAGAGCCCGCGCCGAGTGAGCAGCGGAAGCCCGGGGTCAGGGCTACTGGGGACACCCGGGAAACCTTAGTTGGTTCCTTCAAGGGTCTTATGGCAGCAGCAGCCACTTATCATTCTCACAGACATAATTTTCTTTGGTTGGATGATTTTTGCTATATATGCTATGTTTTCTTAAAGACTTTTTTTTTTTAATTTGAAGGAATTAGAGGGAGAAGGAGAGAGTGAGAGAAAAAAGAGAGAGATATCTTTCATTCACTGGTTCATTCCCCAGATGGCCACAACGGCTGAGGCCAGGCCAGGGCCAAAGCCAGGAACCAGGAGCTTCTTTTGGGTCTCCCATGTGGGTGCAGGGGCCCAAAGACTTGGGCCATTCTCCGCTGCTTTCCCAAGCTCATTAACAGGGAGCTGGATGGGAAGCGGAGCAGTCGGGACTCCCATACAGGCTGCCGGTGCTGCAGGTGGCGGCTTTACCCGCTACGCCACGGCACCATCACCATGTAAGTATTGATTATGGCTGTGCCCAATGCCGGGAAGACAGAGTGAAAGGATGTTCTCCCTGTCTTAGTGCTTAGGAGCCCGTGTGTTACTAAGAATGTTGAGAGTTGGGATGGGGGACGGAGCGAGGATGGCTAATGGGGACAGGGGATGCCGCTGGTTAGGACCAGTGACTTCTGCCCTGTGGCTCAGTACGATAGCTGTGGTCAACAGCAATTCATTGTGTACGTGGAGTAACTAGCAGAGAGGACCTGGAATGTTCCCACACCAGAAATAAAT